CAGGTTAGCTGAACGAAAGCGCCTGCCCACAACCAATATACATCATCGTCCCAGAATGCATTGCGTGAACAAAAACATGGCCGCTCCCAAGGCTTCAAAATAGTTTTAAACAACAAAGATTTAATGAATAACGAAAACATTTTAGTTATTTTCAACAATGTTTATGTAGTGGAGATAATTTGTAACATATTTAGAGTAACTTGACATAATAGTCGGGATTCCTTTTAAGAAAAACAGAAGGAAAAACTGCAAATGTGAAACCAAAGAAACCAAACGTCTCACTAAAGAAGAATGTAAATTTGTAAAGACAAGGGTGGAATTACATGTTTGACAGTGCCCCAGAAAACAGATGTTTCTAGCCACTTAGCATGAAAAACCACAAAAAGTGAATTTATTTTCCAACTTTCTGCCCCAACGAACACTAAATATTTGTTTTAGAACATAATTTAGGAAAGGATTAACATTGAAATGCTGAGGTGGTATTTGCATGACAACACTTCCTTCTATACAAATGTCACTAGCCTACAGCGTTTGTTCAAACGTCAAAGAAACTGTTTCTGATCAGAGCTTTCCTCCTGATTTTATTTATACCTGATTTTACTTCAGGTTTCTCTTTCTTTTGATTTATGCAACACAGTACACACAGAGGCCAGCCAAGTGAAATTAACCATGCGTTGTGACCACATGGGAAATTGGGATTATTATTTTTTTTTGCATTACATTTAGTTGTTGTCCCTGTGGTTTTCCCTTTAGTTTTTAATATGGTTTTCTCAGTGTCTCTATAGGCTCGGCTGTCTCTCATTTGGGGAGTTTGTTGAGTTATGATATGATTTTGCTAAGCATTATTTTTAAAGGAGTTCTGTTTAGCTGACCTCTTTTATGGGTCCACTTATTTCTTAAAATAGCTTATTTCTATGATTGTGTATATTGACTATATTTTTGTTATTTTGGGGGTATTGCAAAAGCCACATTTTATAAATTACACCCGTACCTGTGCATCTTTGGCTTCAGGGTCCCTGAAAAGAGAGAAAACAAAATCCCATTTCACATTAATCTTTCATTCTTTTTGTTGATTTTTGTAGAAAATCATCAATGACTGGACATTCAAAGGTGTCTCACATAACAAGAAAAATAACAATGATAAAACCTTCAGATACTTCACCTTGTTTTCTTAACACGTTGAATGTTTTAAGTCATGTTAATTTACAAATTTGTTAATTTCAACAAATCGCTAATATTAACCTCACTTTTTTAACCTTTAACGGCTCTAATAGACTGTGCGCCTTAGCATTTGCTACTTCCGGTGGGGAAACTCCCGTAGAGCACTTCGTTTCCGGTGTGATATTCGTGCCTTGTTTATGGTCGGACTTTCCAAAACAAGTTAACCCAATGGATGAATCATGGGGCGATTTACAGTGGGGCA